GCTGTTAACTTTGTGGAGCTCAAAAATATTTCGCTTAAAATAAAATTTCAGTATCGTACATATATTTGTTTGTCAATTTGTTGCCTTTTCAACAACATTAAATAGCCATGATAACAATGAACAGTTAACAGTTAATCATCCGTAGTGTCTTACTCTCACATCTCGGATGGCCAGACCCTGGATAGAGGTGTCCATTGGTAATGTTGCGATTGTATTTTGCATTTTATATTGTATCGGTGTATTTATAACGTTTTATATGGGGTAAAACAAGAATTTTAAAAATAGGGCTGCCAAAGTATAGTCTGAATTTCTCAAATGACGCCCTTGAATCCAAGTCCAGCTGACTCAATAATAGTCGCGAATATAAGAATATATTATAAAAATTAAACGAATTTCTCGTATCGATAAAATTCATCGTACCTCTCGCACGTAGTTACATTTTACTATTATAGTTAACATATTATTATCAAATACCAATAATATAATAATGATTATTTTTTTTTTAAATCGTATTTAGTGTTATTTTTTTAGCGATACCATCATATATAGTATAGGTAATACAAAATCATAATATTATTATAATAATTATGAATATAAAAAAAAAAGTTAAATATTTAATGTATGCTGAATAAAAACTGTACATTTATAATAACTTCTATAATGGATGAACATTAACTGTATAGGTATAAAATACTCAACTTCAGATAAAAAAAAAAAAATGCTAATTAAAGTTAAAAAAAATCGTATTATCTATGAAAAAAAAATTGTTACACATTGTAAAAATCATTACCATATAGCTTGCAGTAACCTTTTAGATAAGAGGGTAAAGTTAAATGAACTTCAAACAGAAAAACATGTACGAATAAATTATAATAGCTGTAATTCGATGTCTGAATAATAAATTATAATAAATATTATACTATGAAAAATATAAAAGTATATCTATACCTACTATAGAAGTGGATATAATTTACATTTTGCTGAGTAAGTCGCTGTTTTAGGAGAATTCTACAGAAAAAAATGTTCTTGAGCCCAGTGGTGCAATCTGCAGGATATATTTTTTAAGAGCAAAGGGATTATGAATTTCAAACAAATTTTTAGACAGGTTTTTGAGATAATGCGTGCAATTTTAATACAAATTATATAACTACGTATAGAATTCGTAGAAAAAAAAAATTCAAATTTAGAGTTATAATCCTCCCCATTCAGTTGCACCACTGCTTGAATCATTATTATTATGAACAATCGATAGCTGCAGATAAATCATCGCATTCGAAAAACGACTTTTAAAAGCAGTACAATTATAAATTTCATAATAAATAAAATGTTAACATAATGCTGAATCGGAGTAGTATACGAACAATACTATAAAAAGTCTAGTAAAAAATTTGAATTTTCTGTACACAAAAATACCTACAACATCACGACGAACTAATTAAAAGTCATTATCATCTTTTTCAATATTGAATTGATATCTATGACAAATTCAAAATATACTTTGGGTTGTTGTAATTTGATCAAATGTTAAATACGATTATTTACTTACGGGAACTTTACGGCAATAACAATTTAAATATTATTATTATTTTATTTCATCCGTATCACTAAGGTAAACCTTAGTTTAACAACAATAATTCGATTTTCGTATCAAACATAAATTACCACAGACACGGGACAATTCTCCTCTTCCTAGGAGTTTAATTCGGGGATAAAGTAGCCTATACCTGTATGTTATTCCTGGTCTACAACTAAATTTATACGAAACTTCCGCCGAATCCGTTTAGTATAGTAGAAGTGGTATTGTGGTGACAAACACTTGGATGAATATAATCCATCCTTCTAAACTTTCACGTGTATAAAATATTATACACCAGGATAGATTGTTGTGTTTTTTTTTTTTTTTTTGTTGTTTACATTTGCACTGAAATACAACCGGGTACGTGTATAATATACGGGAAATGACCCAAACAAAACGTTACGTATAATATGACATACGAGTATTCTGTAAACTTTTCTGTTCGAGGACCGACGACTACGACGCCATATTATTAAGCACCGAGCATAATATTATTATACTGTTAAAATGTCCGTTTCGAGTCATAACATCGACCGCCCGAGAGAGAGATTTATATACCTATACGTTTATACTATATCAATGGATTGTGTATAATATATATAAGTAGGTACTTACCGAGTATAAGTACGTATTTCATTATGTTTCTGAAGTGGAAAAAAAATCAATATTTACGTGCGTGTATTATATACATATGTGTATGGTATATATAGGGAGAGAGATGTACTCGACAATATTATCGTTTATCACACATTATTATACGATATTAGGCGCGTATAGTGAAAATGTATTATAAACATTTTTTTTATCGAGCCGCCACGTGCGTGGAATGCCGTTCAAGTGCCCCGAAAAAAGAAAATCGGTTGTTTGTTTATCCCCGCGTTTTCATTATTATATATATTCGTGTATAGGTATGGGTGTATGGGCAACCGATTTATTTTCTCAACGCCTTCACGTCTCCGAGGGGAAAGGGGGGGGGGGGCCGTTTTTGTACTCTCGTTAATCCCCGACCCGTCCTCATCGCGACTGTTACGCTATCGCCTATACCTACTTTGCTGACGAAAATTCTAAAAGGAAAAAAAAAAAATCGTCTCTCTCACCCAGCCATCCCTACCCCGCGCGCCTGAACCGCGGTGCGGTACACATAATATGCCACCCACCTTTAACAATAACAATATCGTCGGGGATGTAGGGGGAGGCGGGAGAGGGAAAACGCTGTTTGTTTTCACGCACCAGAACGCGCGCGATATTCAATATAAAATATACGTCACATTATTATATACGACACCATACTCGTACATTATATTATTATCATGTAAAGACGATCGTAAATCGCAATGTTTACAGTGATCCCCTGTAGCCCCTCCGGCTCTTTTCAAACATTATTATTACGACCGAACAGGTTACCTATATATTATATTATTATTATTACACGTCGTCGTCTGGATGAGGCGGGGGGGGGAGGGAGGGGGAGGATGGAAACCACACGCGCCGCTATCGGCGACCGGAGACGGGGACAGACGATAGTTCCGTCTAGTCGTTTTGGCCGCGACGCAGGCCACTTCTATAGACGACACGAAAACGGATTTCGGTCTCCGCACTTGACCAGCTGTTATACAGGGTACACGAATAAAATATCGAATAATCGGGTGGGAAACCTCCGGCAGACGGCCCCAGCCCGACCGATACATACCCGGTACCGACGCCGGTAATTATTATTGGACTGGCGCTCTGTTCGCCGACACTAATCACCGATTTAGATTTACAATTTATTACGGGCTGCGGGGACCGTGATTTTATAATATCGTACGTTATGCCGTACATACCGTATAGGACGGGGGAAATATTGTGACGTTTCCCTTATCTCTCACACCTTCACACCTCCCCCCCTCTACCCGTGTGAAACGAGTGGCGAGTATATTTACGTAGGCAATTAACGTCAACGCTCGACGCACAGAATCACACACGCGCGAAATCGCCGGCCGTTCTCTCTCTCTCTCTATCTCTCTCTTTCTCTCAAAACGTTTTTAAACATAATAATATTATATACATCATTGTATTATATTATAGAACGGACTGCGCTTATAGAAGAGAAACGCGTGACGTCAACACGGAGCGAATGAGACGGCAATACATTTGTGGGGCTCGTGAAAAAAAATCGAGAAGATTAACATTATGATTGTTATCAGTACGAGCGAAAACGCATAATATTGAACACCAAAAGGTGTTTTTTATTTCACGATAGCCCACAAATGTACGTCTGTTTCTTTCACACTATGATGACGTCAATAGTCCTGTGGCAGAGAGTTTTATGTGTATGTTTTTTAAATAATAATTTCGCGGCAAAACGACGACGCGGTCGCACGGATAACATGTTTTTATATTTATGTTTGGTCCGTTCGCCCGACAATAATATTAATAAAACGTTTAAAACTATCGGCGCAAATTCGTCCCCGGGCCGAAATGGCAAATTGGCTCTGCCATGCGGGTTTTCTACAGCGAAATCAGTTTTTTCCGTTTATCTAGCCGCGCATAATATACAGTGTCCCACGGACTTCTGACAAATGCGTTAACTTTGTTCAGTGCGATATTTTTCAGGTTTTTCTGGAATACTCATTAGAGCCTCGCGCTTAGATTCTTATACTTTATTTTTTTTTTGAAAAACTAAAAATAAAAAAAGTCCAAGATAACTATTCTATAAATGTATTTTTAAACAAAGTTTTGGTAATTTAAATGTTTACTAACGACGAGTCGTTTAGTTTTTTAAATTTAACGATAATTTAAATTGTTTTTATCACCACTACTAAATAATATCAATCGATTCATTAAATTTTTCTACGAAAAATCATTTTGTAATTGACTTTTGTGAACTTCAACAATTTTTAGAAAATGCATCGCTAGTAAACATTTGTAACACCGAAATTCTGTTAAGGCATTCCGCTGGGTTTCCACGAAATATTTTAAATCGTTCGACCGTGAAGAATAATATGCTCTTCTCTATAAAATGTCCGTTAGTCCAAAACCTTGATCGAAGAATCGTAATCATGGTAGAGCGGAATGCCTTATAATTTGTCGCCGTAGTACGCGCAAGCCAGACGAAGAAAACAAATGTGGTCGTAGAAAACCGTTGAACAAACACTATGTGTGTAAATAAAGTCTGAAAATATATTGGACCAACAGCTCTTAGACCTAATATTAATGACTGAATTAATACGTATAATATTATAGATAGGACTTGAGATGGATCAGGAAGGGTTCAGCCCTTTCTAGTTCCTTCTGTTCACGTCTTTAAAGAAAATATGTCGTACGGGTTTTTATTTTTTAATTAAAAAAAAAAAACGAAATATTATATGATCATCTATCTTGTATTATATAATTATACGTTAATTATTATTATCATCATTATAGATATTACATTTAAAATAGCGTGTCAAAAAATTATACAAGTATAGACGGATTATTATAATAGTTGTACAAATAATAATGTGAAAAAAGCATACGAATTGCGTTATATATTTTGTTTTGTTTTTTTTGTTTTTTGTTGGTTGGTTAAAATTGAAAAACAAATATTATTTCATGATACACCTACGATAAGTATAGGGAAACGTTTAATATTAACAGGCATATATTATAAGAGAATTTTTGAAAAAACGAAACATATTTTAAAAAGTCGGGTGTTTTACTCGGTTAATGTAGTAGTTGTCCGTGAACCTCGCCAAATAAGACCTTTGCTTCTGCAATTTCTTTTTGATTATTTGACGGTACCGCGGCACGGATTTGAAATGCATTTCTTCTTCTGCGGCTGCATCGTAATAATGTCTAAAAATAAAATCGTGTGTCAAACGTCAAATATAAACGTAATTTTCCGATATAAACTACGCAATAACAATATTATTATTATTATTATTACAGTAATCGCAGTGAAATTATTGTTGTCATTATTATTTTCGTGATTATAACGAGCAATGATATTTTATCACGGGAATTATTATTGTTGTAATATTATAATGTCTTCATTAAAAATATATTCTAAACGTTGCCTACTATATTATATTATATTATTGTGTTGAGTCCGTTTCGAGAGCAATACATTGCTGGCAATTTTATCGAGGAGAACATAATATTTTAATGTCTACTTGATCCGTCGTTATCGAACGAATTTTTCATTAATTTGTCTACGCCATTCAATTTGCATACTTTACGGCTAGAAATGTGTACCGATAAAAAATACATAACATGTGACATGCGTAACTAGAAAATAGGAGAGTGCAGGGGGGTCTTTAACACCCCCGAAAATACCCTATAAGCTTTTTTTATATTATCGAATATCTTATCCTTGTATTCCATAATTAACGAGCAGAAAAAATACAGATGGTTGCGATAAATGTGTGTGTACAAAAAATTGTAAATGAAACTTGTCGTCACTTATTGTAAGAGTCGTGTAAAGGGGATTTCGGGGTAGTCCCCATTTTTTGATATGTCCATCATTTCAGTACCTTCAAAGTTAGTGCTTTTGTTGCGCCTATGAATACGTTGATCACTAAGTGGTACTGATCTATATAGTTATTGTCAATGAAAACGATCACATAATAACGATCGATAAAAATTGATTTTAATACATGTGAAAATATTTTGGAGGGCGGGGGCCCGTATTCCACTGTCTCCGTCTTAAAAAACGCATGACATAACAAATTTGCGTTCTTTGGGACAAGTGCCTCGAGTTTTAGTATTAGATTGAATTAACGTATTACCAAATTTAAATGTATACTAACATTTTCTGCATCCACGCGTCGATGTTTTTCCAGTTATTCAGTTTTCGAGCGAGATATAAGCATTTTAAAATTGTGATCATTTGCATACTCGTATCTCGCTTAAAAATTAAAATATTGAGAGAAAAACATCGAAGTCGGTGATTTTCTTACTTTTAGATTGATAATTGAACGGTTCACTCTAATATTTAAACTTACGGCACAACATTTTTCTAACTGAACGTCGTGCGTTTGTAATACGAAGAAAGTGGACGCGGGTTAACGTCCTAATAAGTGATTATTTTCTTTTGAACAATTATTAAATAATTATTAAAATCGCTATTAGTACTTATAAGTTATATAAGATAAGAAGTAACCGTTATAATGAATAGCTAGGGTTTTTTTTTTTTTAAACAATATGTATATGCTACGGGTAATTTCGTACAATCGATTAATGCCGTTATATTAATTTTAGGTAGGTACTTTAACCGATTTTGTCAAGTTATCATTTTTCGATATTTTAGTTTTTAATTAAGATTTGTAGATTATTTAATTGTAATATTTCACATATTCGTAATTCACTTGAAAATTAAAATATTGAAAAACCCAAAAATTATAAAAACGGACAGAATTCTTTTCTTTAATAGTTTGCTAATACATTAAAATATTAAAACTAAAAACGGAAAATCGGTTTTCGTATTCAAAAAATATAAATTTAACGTAAACTAATTAAACAACATTAATCGTAACATATAAAAATACAAGGATACAAGTATTTATTTTAATACAAAATTGAATGAAGTATTGACTTTTTAAAGTTTAAAATTCAATTAATAACTACTTTGTGCATAGCTTCAAAGAAATTATAATTGTTGATAATTCTCCTTTGTATACTCTATGTATACAGAAGTTCAATAATCGTTTTATTATCAATTTACACACAGTTTACATCGTAGTTGTTCACTTAGTCACATAATAAAATAAGTAATTGTTTGTTGAGATTTTAGTTGCCAATACAATATTTAATTTGGATACCATAACACAACTTCAACTTTTATAAAATACATGAATACGACATAATACGGTCTATAATTAAAAAGGGGTATTGTAAAACTGTACACTCGATCAGAGTGATGTAAACGCTCAAATTTTCTAAGACAAAAGTCATTTTAAACGTTTTTTTTTTTTTTTTGGTACTTACAGCGCGTGGTTTCTGTTAAAGCTGCTGCCAGTGGCGATGAAACATTCAATTAAATCTGCCATAACGTTCTTTTGGCCGAACAGCGTATACGACCGATCCAAATATCCGGAAATACGAATGCGCGTCTGTGCGGTGGAATATCGAGTACCTAGTGTTATTTTATGGTCGTTCGACTTTGCAACAAATCATATTATTTTATAAGTTATTATGTCATGAAATCAAAACGAGACTACTGAAATACGTCATTGTTTGTTGACACCGAAAATTTGGTTAAAATTTCATAAGGTATCAGGTATGGCGTTTGCGGACAATGCGTTTCCTGCAGCGCGTTTCACGTCGTTATATCGAAGATCAAACAAGAAATGGCCAGTAATGAGTAAACATTACAATAGGTAGGCACCGTTAATATGATTGCACGATAAAATAATACCAAACCTGTTTGCCGCTCTACTCGGTGTTTTAAATAAACCGCAGTCATTAAATACACATGATACCGTTTTATGAGAAGTCATTGTACACTGTATATCGTACTGATCCACTGATTAGTGTTTTTATACGCCGCGTTCATATTATATTACTTATATTGCTTACCGGTTTCATTATAATTATAAGATTGTGATAATATGTTTTCTATTGAAGTTTTATCGAGTGTAAGTATATGTATACCTATTAGGAATAATTATTTCGAAATAAAACGAATTTACAACGGTCTGTCGACGGGGGGGGGGGTTGTTGTCATTTGAAAACAAAGTTTTACTTTACAACTTTACTACGACTAAATTGATTAACTACCTATTATTCTTTACGTGACACTAAAAACTGAATTTCATTAAATCAGCAAGGCGTATTATAGCGACGGTTTTCGAACAATGATAAATGATAATTCAAACATTAATAATAAGACAAAAGTCATTTTAAACGTTTTTTTTTTTTTGGTACTTACAGCGCGTGGTTTCTGTTAAAGCTGCTGCCAGTGGCTGTTAATTGGCACGGGTCGTTTACACGCACGGTTTTCGGTTTTTCGTCAGAGTTGTTCTCGCGTTTTCACACTAAATTATTACGTTTATTGGTAATAAAACATTTTAAGGATCGTGATCCTCGGTTCGCACGGTGTATATAATTATTACCGAAGTACCTAAGTGCTTCACTAGTTTGCGCTCTGTTTGTCTGTCCGTCCGCAATGCGGCGAGTAGCTGCAACCAGGGACGGGCAAGATACAATTCAAAATGCGTATCTATATAATATGTTCCCGAATCATTGGTTTTCAGTATCTACTACCTAAATTCAAAATACTTATCTAACACGTATTGCAACACAAGGTACTCGATACTTTCAGAACCGTATCCAAGATAAACTTGTATCGAAGATACCGTCCGAAACCCCGACTCTAACACGCGATTAAGGTTATTAACATTTTCGTGCTATTTCTATTTGTATTTATTTATGTGTCGGTTCGTTGTTATGTTTGACTATTAGTGTTCTGTGCTATGTTGCTATGGTTATTAGATATCAATATAAACTGCTTTGGTATCATCATAATGCATGACGATGCTGATGATTGTGGTAGGGACGGTATTATGTTAAATTACATGTTATGTTTATGCAAGTACTACCTATTTGCACATTCACAATGCACCGTATAGTTTATAATATTGTCATTGTTAACACTTACCTACTGCAGCTGTAGGTACATACCCATATTGGATATTTTTTTTTTATAGGTGATAATAATTATAGTGTAATTTTCAACGATATTAAAAGAAAAAAAAAATATGATAATATATACATTTTATAAAACCGCATTATACCTTTCTAAACAATTACACAATGAGAATAGGTCAAAAGAGTCCTACAGACGACAATACGTCATAAACGCGGTATAAAACACTGCGTATAATGTATTTTTATTACGTATTGTGTTTTTTTTTTGTTTTTTTTTTTTTTATGGTGCGGCATCTTCTTTATAGAGTCATCATCCTCAAAATATCCTAGCCGAAAAAATATGTTTATCGAGAAATTTAATCGTATGATAATTATTATAATAATATCCCGAAAGTGGGCGATTTCAATTATTGTATAAATCACGTTGTAATCTTTTGTCGAACAATAATTTGAAAACTGGACTCACTGGGTCGGTGAAATGGACCCTCCAATTGTATTATAATGTTATTATGTTTCCATGTATTAACTTATTTATGAGCAGTTTAACCTGCAGTTCATATTATATTCCCCTAAAATTTTCAAACCGTGTCTATGTTTTCCAACATTTTCGTTTAATATCATAATCAATATTGAAAGCAGCTAGTCGATTTAATCTCGATTCGGACGTAGAGTTTCTTAAATAGATTTTGATCTGTTTGAGTGTAGAAATTGACCGTTCAGCTTCGCAAGATGTAACAGGATGTGTGATCAGTATTTGCAAAAGCTTGCAAACGTTTTGGAATAACTAAGAATTGCATTTATTTAAGATGTCTATGCATTTTTTAGTTGAATATTACTATCGTTTAAATAACGATTCCATAATAAAACTTCCGATTTCATAAGACAAAAATTATCAATGTCATCGCCGTAAAATTCAACAAGTTCTTTAAGTCTTTCGTCATTGAATGTTGAACTTTTCACATTAACATTTCGAATCCACTAATAATGTTTTTATGATTTAGAAAACGATCATTCAGTTGTTGAATGAACGAATCAAGAAAAACGTTAACAGTTAAAGTTGAAACGTAAACACGATTAGGTCGAACAACCGTGATTATATTTTATCAATCAATGATTGTGACGTGATATCATAATCATAGACCATATACCACGGTATTAAATATATCTAAATCGTGCCGTAATAGGTGTAAGGTTGGTTGCGCCACTGACTGTATATTCATTTTACGCGCGGCGGGAGGGAGAAAAGAGAAGAGGCATTTGCACGAACGAAAAACGGTATAAAAATACAATCCGCGAGAGACGTTATTACGATACACGTGATACCAGCTCGAATGTGCACATTTTTTTTTATAGGTTTTTGTTTTATTTTGTGTTTGTTTTTTTTTCTTTTCTTCTAAAGAGGGGCCGTTCGCGACGACGTTATTTCAATATTAAATATAATGCCATACGATACATAAATACACACGCACGCGCGACGTACTCACCCCGCAGCGGAAAAGCCGCGGCGGCCGCGTAATGGATTTCTCGGCGCGGGCCCCGAGGGCACATATTGCAGCCGTCTCGGAAACAACACAATTTAGTCAAACTCGGCGGCGGCGTCTCGGATTTACATGATTGCGAAAGACGACGGCGCCGTCGCGGCTATCCGGAGGCGTTATTTCCCTTTGATGGTGCGGCCGCAAAGTCAAAAGTTCCATACCGGAGGGCGTCCGCGGAACACCGACGGCCCGGGGTGCGCACGCGTTCGTACGGACGCACAGTCGTCCCGAGATGTGTACACACGCAACGATAATAGTGCGCGCGCGCCCGATCCCCTCGGGCCGATAACATTACGTAAACGTCGCGAGCGGATACGGGCCCTCGACGTCGCGATTGTCGACGAGCGGTTCCACGCCCTCCGCGGCCAAATTAACCGGAAAACCGTGAGCAACCGTTCGCCGTCGCCCGTCGGCTTCTACGGCGGCGGTATTATAGACGCCGGTGCACGTATACATACTTACCCGCAGCGACTCGCCCCTTCCCGCGGTTAATTCGATTCCGCGACGTCCTTTTCGCGGCGGGCGCGCGTCTTCGCCGTCTCGCGGCCCCGCGCGCGTCCCCGTGCACCTTGTACCGCGTACCCGCGCGCGACAAAGTCAATATGCGTCTGCGAAATATCATTATGCACGCCACGTGTACGCCGTCCGTGTAATTGTGTTCGTCACACGACACCGTTTCGGCGGCGTATCTACGGGGGATTTTTCCCCCGCTTCTCCGTTCGGGGGATTCGGTTTGAGGCGGACCATTGGGCGCCACAGAGAATCCGTCGATTGAAATGAAAATTTGAGAAAATTCCATGTGTTGGCAAGGGCATTGGGAGGTGGAAATTCTGAGGGGGTGTGGGGTGTGGGTGGGGAACAGCCTTAATTTTTATTAACAATCAAACACTTTTTTACTAATATATTATGCGTGTTTTTTAATTGAACACAAATTGAAATTTTATTTAATTTTTGACAAATTCATCAATAACTTTTTCTGCTAAATTGAGTTATCGAATTTTTTCCTATGTAAACTTAACACGCGTATAATCCGGATAAACGATTTTCATACGTTAGATAATCGCAAGTCAGCTGTCTACAAAAAATAACCAAAAGTGACCGGCCGTATAGTGTTTGATACCTGCAACAACTTCAAATCCTAGGGCACAAATCATTGTACATTGTGATGATAAATTTGCGGAAATCTATCATCACGAAGTACACCAACCGACTAGGTATCAATCAAGGTGTATTGATAAATATCAATGGATTTTGGAATTTTGAGACATTGCATTTGGGTATATAATTATTTTAACTTGCCGGAAAGCTGGGGGAGGAGTCCCCTCCTTGTTCCCTTCCTTGTGGGCGCCCTCTTATACTGGCTGCTTTCAGTTTGATAGTGGATTATTAGCGAGTTGTGTTTGACGGCGGGAAGCATAGCGAATAACCGACGAACTTGGTACAGTGTCTGCGGTGATTTTGACGGGTAAACGACCGAATAAACTCCCGCGGTTTGTACAATGAACAAGGACGGATTTCGATAAATTTTTAGACAAACTCGGAAAAACCATCAGTATTGATGATATTGGAATTTACGAACGACTCGTTTTTTTTTTTTTTTTTTATCTATACTGTCGGCTAGGTATGTATAGCAATTCCGCGAGCGGCGGCGTGCGTGGTATAATTGCATTCAAAATATTATAAATTATATACGTGTTTCGTACACGAGTATAATGTGATATTTTGCGATCCGTTCCCATCGTCCGTCACAGTGGTAATTATTATTATAAAAACGGATCTCAACAGCTCGTACACCGGGAACAGTATATTACAATATTATTTGTTACAACGTCGACGATAAAAAAAAGAATAATAAATAATAATAATAATAAAAAAAAACGATACCGTTCGTCGAATAACGCATACCTAAGCTATATGATAACTAATAACAGTAATAATAATTATTGTTATTGCGCGGTGTTTATAGTGGCACCGAAAGGCCCTCTGCTGTGAGTGGCCGACCAGCCGTAAAACACTCGTATGTTCTCGCCGAGGACCGAGGTGGAAAAAAAAAAGAAGATTATCGCGTGGGCGTGGGAAAACTAAACGCACATGATCGTGTGCACCGCAGCATCCGTATATTATGCGAGTGAGTGTATATTTTTACACGCGCGCGCGCGCGCGCACACACACACGTCCGAAAACGC